TGGCGTGGAGAAGGGTCCTCTGTCCTTTTGTTTCACTCCAACGCTGGCGTGGAGAAGGGTCTGGAGCTGCTCCATGGTGGCAGCATGGAGTCCTGCTCTCTCCCCAGGAGGCCTTGCGGCACACTCTGGGACTGGAACATAGCTCCCCAAGCGCCCAGACTGTGGGGTATGGCCTGGAATACCCACAGCCTTTCTTCGAGGACCCAACGGGGGCTGGCGACCTCCTGAATGAGGACGAGGATGAAGAAGGCACTTGGACCGGGGCCTACCTACCGTCCGTGGTGGAGCAGTCACACAGCCTGAGGGCCGCTGCCAGCACGTCGCCCTGCAGCACCTACATGTCCTTTTTCTCCAACCCGTCGGAGCTGGTGGGACCCGAGTCTCTGCCCTCATGGACTCTGAGTGACGCAGACTCCCGGGCTCCTCCAACATCCCCACTGAGCGGTCCCAACCCAGACTTCGCAGCCCACGGAGAGTCTCTGGGAGACAGGCACCTTCGGACGCTGCAGATAAGTTATGAAGCAGTAAGTGTGGGATACGGTGCTGCCTGACGGGCCACAGTGTCTGAGTGGTCCCTCTCACAGGAGCCTGGCGTGGTCCTTCTTCCCCAGGGCCCAGGCTCTGGGCTCAAGGACAGACGGTTTGCTGTCATTCTTATGGAATCTCCCTGGGGTGCTTCCCTCACACTCGCTTCTGTGACACACGTGAGCGTGACCAACCACAATGGCAGACAGACGTGGCCCTTAAAGAGCTACACTCTCAGGATAGGGTAGCCAGAGCCACCGCTCAGGGACACTGAGGACACCTGAAACAAGTCTTAAGGGACAGTGAAACAGCCGTCCATGACCACGGGCCTTTGGAGAGCAGCTGTTCCCCCACAGCCGGGCCCCACTATTCTCACACTTGGCAGACGGGTGCCTCCATCGGCCAGGACGTGTGTTGGCCACAGTGTCGCAGGGCCACACTGCCAGAGCACGGCCCCTTGCAGCTAGACGTCCACACGTCTAATGGGGATTTTCTTTCTCTGCAGCTGAAAGATGAAAATTCTAAGCTGAGAAGAAAGCTGAGTGAGGTTCAGAGCTTCTCTGAAACTCAGACTGAAATGTATGTAAGCTCTCAGGGGCCACGTTCACGGCAGCTCCTGACGGCAGGGACATGGTGCAGTGGGATGAGGTGGGGCTTTGTTGTGGGGAAACCCTCAGCTCCACAACACAGGGGTGTGGCACAGCGGAGTGAGGCCAGGAACACAGCGGAGGGAGGCCAGGCTTTGTCCTGGGGAAACCCTCAGCTCCACAACACAGGCGTGGCGAGGCCAGGCTTTGTCCTGGGGAAACACGCAGCATCGAGCACATGGTGTTGTCCTTCATTGTTTAAGCCCAAACTCGAGTCAGGCTGGCGTTGGGCTTGCAGAACGCAGTCCTGTCCCTCTGTACCCCGACACCCTGATCTGAGGTCCCTTCTACAGTGAGGGATCTCAGTGGCTAGTTCCTTAATCACGTGGAGACGCCTTTTAGGGATTCTCTTGGGTTCGCCTTGGGAGTCGCTAGTAACCCTTGTCTTTCCCGTTGGTGAGGGTGAGGACACTAGAACGGAAACTGGAAGCCAAGATGGCCAAGGAGGAGCGTGACTACCGCGACCTGGAGTCTGTAGTCCAGCAGGTGGAGCAGAGCCTGGAGCTGATGACCGTACGTGGAAGCTTTGTCTGAACTGCTGTGGTTAGCCACTGAGTGCGTGTGGAGGCTTTGTCTGAAACGCTGTGATTGGCCACTGGGTGCGTGTGGCGGCTTTGTCTGAAACGCTGTGATTGGCCACTGAGTGCGTGTGGAGGCTTTGTCTGAACTGCTGTGGTTGGCCACTGAGTGCCGTGTGGAGGCTTTGTCTGAAACGCTGTGATTGGCCACTGGGTGCGTGTGGCGGCTTTGTCTGAAACGCTGTGATTGGCCACTGGGTGCGTGTGGAGGCTTTGTCTGAACCGGTTGGCCACCGAGTGCGTGTGGGCTCTTTAGAGGGGCGTGTGTTTGCACCGGGCAGCCGAGGCCTCTCTAGGGGACTGAAGCTTGCACACACGGCTTTTAGTGCTGGGCACTGGGGCCACCATCAAGTGGACCGTCCCCTGGGCATTGTGTTGTTGAGCACCTGGCACTGTGGGGGGAGGGGGCAGTCCCAGTGGTCATCAGTGACAGAGGCTAGACACAGTGTGGCCAGGAGGGGCGGCTGGTCAGAGTGGCCCTGAGGGCTCCCGTGCGCTGCCCTGGGACGTGTTCTGACCCGACGTCAGGATGTCAGCGGTACTCTCTGTTTCCGGGAAGCAGAAGCGGGCTGTGAAGGCGGAAAGTCACGTCCTGAAGCTGAAACAGGAAGTCAGTCTGCTCCAGGTAACGACAACAAGGGCTCCCGGCTCTCTGACTTGGAGGTGGGGCGTCGCTCAGCCAGTGTTCTCCCTCCCCTTGGCCGAGAGGCACAGCCCTCACCTCAGGGCAGTGGAGTGCCTTCCTGGCCCTACTGCTTTTGCTCAACAAGCCAGCCCTGGGCTTTGCTGTTGGGGGTGAGGGGTATCTCATTCATGGAGGTTGGGTGCAGCCTGCAGGGAAGTGGGGGGACTGAGATCCTGTTTTACCTGAGGAGGGAGACCCTGGGGGTGCAGATGGTTAGTGTCCTCAGCTGCTAACTAAGTGGCTGGAGGTTCCCGTCTACCCTGAAACGAGGCCTGGCAGTCTGCTTCCAGCCGTTGGAACTCCAGGGAGCAGTTCTGCTGCCACGTGGGCACAGAACCCACTGAAACCAGTTTTACTTGAGAAGGGTCCTCCATCAGAGTCACGTCCTTCGTGCCAAGGGTGCCGTGTCCGTCCGTCATTGGATTGCCTTTAGAACACCCTCCGTCCGGCCATGCAGTTGTCACCATCCTGCCCCTGCCATCTCCCTCTCGAAGGCACAGGTCTCCAACTTCAAGCATGAGAACGAAGCCCTGCGGTGTGGCCAGGGCGCCAGCCTGACCGTGGTGAGGCAGAACACCGACGTGGCCTTGCAGAATCTCCGAATGGTCATCAACAGTGCACACACATCCATAAAGTAAGTCCCGGGGGACCTGGCTGCGAATGACCTTCAGCCCTGGTGTCTCGCGTGGTAGCCCTGGAGGTCCTAAAGGCTGTGTAGTCAGGTTTCCACCCAGCTCCTTCACTTGGGGAGAAAAGTGCGAAGCCAAAGTCACTGCTGTTCAGTTGACTCTGACTCGGCCACCCCCATTGGATTTCCAAGGCGGTAACCTTTACAGAAGGAGACTGCCCGTCTTCCTGCCGTGGAGTGGCTTGTGGGTTTGAACTACTGACCTCGTGGTTAGGAGTGAAGTGCATTGGGCACTGCACCACTTGAGCACCTGCCTTCACTTGGGAGACAACTAAATTCTGAATTCAGTGGAGGAACAGTGTTCTGCCTGTTTCAAAGGAGCCCTAGTGGTGCAGTGATTAAACACTCAGCTGCTGGCCAGAGGTGGATGGTTTGAACCCACAGCCATTCCACAAGAGAGAGATGTGGCGGCCTCCTGTCATAGAGATTGATGGCCTTGGAAGGATTCTGGGGCAGGTCTACTCTGTGCTCTGGGGGTGCTCTGTGTCGGAATCCACTCCACAACTGTGGGTTTCCTGTTGTAAATAAAGCAATAGAAGACCCCTGGGCAGAGTCTGGTCCTGGGAGCCACCCGCTGCTGTCATTCATCATAACCACAGCTGTCTGGCTCCCACTGGGCTGGGAGGGTAGTCTCTGCTTCCGCGTGCCCATCACTGCTCCTGGCGCACACACTCACACAGAGCCCTGGAGCAGTTCACAATCTTTGTCTTCATTTTAGGCAGCTGATGTCTGGAGCCGAAACGCTGAATCTCGTCGCAGAAATCCTTAAATCCATAGACAGAATTTCTGAGATTAAAGACGATGAGGAAGAGGAGAAGCAGCCCTGAAGCCACGCCGACGTCCAGAAACACAGCCGCAGCTTTTGATGTGCGGTCTTCACCGTAATAAAGATGTTTGTTGTGCGACGCTGACTTCTTGACCCGAAGCAGCATGGCCATCCTCACGCACTCAGGGCTCCTGCTGTGCAGGCAGGCGCGTGTGGGGCTGCCCCACAGATGCCTGGCGCCTGCCAGTGGGCTGCATGCACCGTCTGACAGACGAGAAAGCTTTGTCGGAGGGCTTTTCCTCAACACCAGTGGTTTCCCACGAGGTTACTAACCATGACACAGTGGTCCTGTCACTGCACCGCCTGTTCTCTCCCTGGGACACTATTGTGAGGAAGCCTGGTTGGTTGGCCTCGACTAGTAAGCAGAGAACAGGAATCAGTGAGCCCCGGTAAGGTGACGGGCCTGGGGCTCGTGCTTCTCTCTGTCCCATGGTGCTTCCTCCGGCCTGGCAGTGCCCCGCAGCCTGGCTGTCACTCTGGCACCTGTAGCTCTAGGCTGGAGGCCCTTGGTGCATGCCGCCATCGCGTCTCCTTCAGGGTCTGTCCACGGACGCCTGTGTGGCAAGCTGTGTAAACCACCTATGTGGTCTTCTGCATTCCACAAGCTGGGGGGCGGGGGATCAGTCCACTTTGCCCATGTCGTTTGTGCAGTGAGGTTCGAGATTCGGGGACCTGACAAGTACAGTGCCTTCTGGTTAGGTGGTCCCCAGGTGCCTTCCTGGCACTTTCCGCCCTGGGAAGGGCTTGCTGTGCAGTGCAGCTTTTGGCTGTTTTCCAACAGTGACTGTTTCCGACATTTCCCTTCCCTCTCCTGTTTGAGTGGACTGCTTTCTTATTTAATAAACCAAGGTTCCTACATGCTGGTCTCGGTCAGTTCTTCAGGCCGGAGGATCTGACTGGGCGGGCATCTGGTTGCTCTTGTCATCATGTAATCGGTTGCTGGACGCTGGGGTCAGCAGACAGGCGAGCCAGGAGGCAGGTCCAGGCCTGACCACGGCACCAAGCCCAAGGTGGCGCCGCGGTCCTGCGTTTTGGATGCACAGGCTGGGTGTTTGAGATCATGCAGTCGGGTATGTTCTCAAACAAGATGGTTAAAGCTGGATCTTCGGCGCTGTTACAGGTAGAGGGGGCGGTTTCTGGGTCCCCATTGAGTTCACCCTTCAGTTGGCCCACTTTCACCTCGTGTCATGCCAGTTGGTGACAAGTGAGTTCTGGTCTCTTAGCTGCTCTGACATACTTCAAACAGTGTGCTTTGGTAGAAGGTGTCAGAATAAAGTTATTTTCTGAATGTACATAAGACAGCTGTACAGGCAGGGCTAGGACTGCCGGGGGTGCGGGGCGGCTGGGGACCCTGCAGGCCCTGTAGAGAGGCGTGGCATTTCCCTCCACTTTGACTTTCATGTTGGACTTAGCAGATTTTCAACTTCATTCCCTCATGTAGCTATAGTTGCATTAATAACTTTTCAAAGTACCTGCCAAAAGTCTGTCTTAGAGGAAGTACAGCCATGACATTCCTTAGCCACAAGAAAGCTGAGAACACGTCTCTCATACTTCATGTCAGGAGGGACCAGTCCCTGGACAAAGATGCCACTTATACTTGGTAAAGTAGAGGGTCAGCAAAACGGGGGATGGCCCTCAATGACATGGACCGACGCAGCAGCTACAGTATCGGTTCTAACAGCAAGGACACTGAGGGCACAGGACTGAGGCTGGGCAGTGTTTCGTTCTGTTGTACGTAGGGTTGCTGTGAGTCAGAGCCAACTCAGTGGAATCTAAGTGTTACCGGAGCCGCCAAGGGAAACGCTAACACTGAGCAGGGTAAGAAGGAAGGACTTTTATTTTTATGCTAGTGTAGACTCGGTGGATTCGCATCCAGAGACAGCCCTGAACAAAAGCCACATGAGGCCTTCATGGGGTTCTTCCTGGGTGTTCGGGGTAAAGGGGTGACTGGTTATTTGCAAAAAGATGCCAGCTAGCAGTTTACACAGAAGCAAAAAACATGCTTGAGAGAAGAGGGGAGTGTGGGCAGAGGAAAAAGGGAGGGGGAGCAGGGCTGAGAAAGTTGCCACTCCCTGTACCTGGTCTTCCAAGCCGGCCAGAGCCCGATGTCCTGGCCTCACAAGTTGTTTTACTGCTCCCAGAACTTCCCTACTCAGGCTAAGCACAGGTTACGATTCCTTGTTAATGCCGCTTAAATTCTCTCCCGCCTCGTAAGATCGACGGCAAGGTACTTGCCAAGGTGCTCCAACCTCAGGGTCTTTGCAAGATGGTTTACCAGGCCTGGCCAGTGCGCTGTGGGGGACCCTTACACCTTCAGCCCAGGCGGGCCTGAAGCCCGGTGGTCACCCAGGATGACGGGTGCTCTCCCACCTGCTGCTGACCCGGCATTCAGGCTGGCGCCGACTGAGCAGAGGGGGCATCTGGGGGGAGCAGGGGGCATTGTAGGGGAGGTGGCCCTGGGAGTGAGCGAATGGAGTGGCCAGCAGCCTGGTGCTGTGGGCGCTGAGTGGGCCCCAGCCCTGGCAGTGTGCACCCGGGAGACAAAGGTGCGCTCCCAGCCCAGGCCTGGGAGCGTTCATCCTGCAACGAGTCTCCGCTCTGCAAAAGGGCTCCTAACACCCTGTGAGCCCCACCACGGCGCTCAGCTGTACTTGCCACTTGGGGGGATGGGAGGAAATGGGCAGGCCCCTGCCAAGAGGGTAAAACGGAGACTCCAAGCCTGGAACCAGGTTGGCTGGAGGCCTGGTGTTGCAGCGCCAAGGCTGGAGGCCCAGGGCTGAGGTGGACAGGGGTCTCAGACCACCAACAAAGCGCCAGCATCGCCCCTGGGCACGCAGAGACCCCGCACGCTGCTCTGCCCCCCAAAGCGGCCTCCCAGCTCAGCTCCGGGGCGTGCAGACAGCTGGGGCCCCCAGCGGTGCCTCCGCGCTGACGGTGCGCACCTGGCCTGGAGACGGGGCGCACCTGGCCCGGAGACGGGGGACGGTCGAACAGCCAGACAGCAGCGCTGACACCTGGCAGGCTCTCCACGTCCACTTAGTCGTTGGTCCAGAAAACGGGCCCAGAGAGACTATCAGGGAGCGCAACCCAGCGGGGTTGGACCCGAAGGCTCAGGCCGCCTTCCCACGCCCAGCCCCAAGCGCGCTGAGCCTGGCGGCCGCGCGGGACTAACAGCGGCCAGCTCGCGTTTCCGGTCCCGCGGTGTCGCGGTTGAGGCCGCTCCCGGCGTGCCCCGTGCCGCAGGAGGCGGGACTTCCGGGCCGCGGCGCCACAGTTCCGCCATGGCCGGACGCGCCGGGCCGCCGGGGTGACGGAGCCGGCCGCGGCACAGGTGGGGCTGCGCGGGTTGCCGCGGTCGCGGGGCTGGCCGGTTCGGGGCTCTTCCCGCGGAGCGGACAGCCGAGGTCGCGGAGGGGGAGCGCCCGGGCGCCTGCGTGACGGCCCGGGCGGCGGAGCGTGGGTCCTCCACCAGGCGCGGGGGGTTCCCCTTCGGGCGCAGAAGAGGGCGCGGGACCCGGGGCCTCCGGGGCTGACGGCTGCTGTCCGGCCGGGTCCGCCGGGCCGGCGCCACGTGTGCCGCGAGGTGGGTCCCCCCCGGGCCCGTTGTACAGGCGTGGCCGCCGGGCCCCGGCGGCGTCAGCTACCCGCTCGGGTCGCGCTGCGGGAGGTGGCAGCACCAGCTCGGGGCCGGCCTTGTCTCCCGTCCCCACTGGCGCGCTGCTGGCTCCCCTGGGCTTCCGGCCCAGCAGCCCGTGGAAGTCACACGCGGCCTGGAGGAGCTCCTGCACCTGGGTGGGCGATGCGGGCCGCGGGGCTAGAGTGGGTCCTCCGGTGAGGAGCGCCCTTGGCGGGCGGCCTCCAGGCTCGGGGGTTGGAGGGTGCAGGGAGAACGGCGGGCACACGTGGGCCGCTCCCTTGACTGGCCATCCCCGGAGAGTGGTGGATTCAGCAAGTGCCTTGTGTCAGAGAACTGCAGGGTCGGGACTTGGCCCTGGGACTCGAACCCCGGAGCTGTCTTCAAACCCCAGAGTGCCCTCTCTCTAGGCCACCTTCCCAGGGGAGGCCTCCTCCTTGGCCTGTCTGGACCAGAAGATGTCTTTGAACCTGTGGGTGGCCTACGGCTCTTAGCTGAGTGCCGTACTCTGGGGACACAGTGCTTCCTCCTGCAAGCTTGTTGTCTGGGTTCTAATGAAGCCAGAGGACGTGTCCCCACTGGGCAGCACCCAGCATGGCGAGAGTCTGAGCACAGTCCCCTTTCTGGGTTCCCTGTCCCGTCGGCTCACGAAGCTCTGACGTTCAGGCCGCTGCCTGCAGCTTGGCAGTGTGGCACTGGCCTCGATCGCTAGCAGGACTGCTCTGGCAGCTCTTGTCTCGTCTTCTCAGAAGAGCGGGAGGCCAGGACGGGGCTGTGAGATGGAGGGCCTAGGGAGGAGGGGCTCTGGCCCCTGTGTAGGTCCCCGTGTGCCTCTGGGAGTTTCCTGATGACCGCCTTCACCTCCTACTCTGCTTTCCCAGCTCTCAGGCTTCCCAGACCTGTGTTCAGGAGAAGGACGGTTCCTGTTCGTTAGTACGTGTCAGTGAGTGTCAGACTCTGCCCATGCAGACAGTGCGCAAGGGGCTGGAGGCAGTGTAGGCAGGACACACAGGGCCCGGTTCTTGAGACTTACTGCCCGGTGCTGGCATCTGTCACCCAGCCAGTCTGCGTCAGTGAATGTGAACATGTGCACACGCCCCTGGGCCACAGGACAGCAGTCTTGGACTTCACAGAGGGCCAGGGGCCTTGGCTTCTGGTGACCTGGGCACCGTACCTGCTTTTTCTGCTCTGAGTGACGGCCTTGCTGTGGGTGACTGTAGGAGCAGAGACCAGATGGTAGGGCCATTCCATTGTTCCTCCCCTCCCCCACGTGGCTCTAGTCCCTACAGAGCAGGGAGCAGCTGTGTGGGGCGTGGATGACCGTCAGTACAGACCCAGTACCCCCAAAGCACTGGCCTGGGTGTTCAGTCCCTCCCAGAGCCCACGGGAGTTGTGCCGTTTCTCCCATTGCAGGTGCCCATGGAGGCGGGAGGGGCCATGGACGCCGACGCAGAGAGGGAGAAGATCGCCCAGGAGATCCGGGAGCTGGAGTTGATCCTGGATCCCGGCTCCTCGGGCGTTGGCGTGGAGCTCTCGGAATCAAGCCTTGACTCGGATTCCGATGCCGGTAAGCCCCTGCACGGGCTGGCCTCCATCCGCCCTCAGCGCACCTTGTCCTTCCTGCCATTAAACTGAACATGCTGCTCGTAGCGGGCCCCACTTTTTGCCCAAACCAGGCCTCACCCTTATCCCACGCATGGATGGTCCGTGGCCTTCCCTCCTTTGTGAGCCGCTAGACCTGCTGACCACGAGCTGAGCACCTTGGCCTCTCCCTTGAGGAGAGGGTGCAGTGTCTGTGTGTCGGAGGCCTTGGTCCAGTGGCCCTTCCTGTGTGTGTCTCTTCTTCCACATGGCTCCATCCTGGGCTCTGTGCTGGGCACATGCAGAGGGCTGTCCTGGGAAACGAGTAGGTGGTGTGGTGTGGCCCTTCTCAGGATAGGAGGGACCCAGGGTTCATCAGCAGCCCCAGTGTTTTGAGTCACCAGGTCTACCCCAGTGCCTTTCCATTTCCACAGCCAGTTTACTGGCTCAGACCCCAGGGTTTCTTCCCTGGGCTCCCCAACAGCTTTCTAGCTGATGCGCCTGCTGCTGGAGGCACACACGCTCCTGCCCCCCACCTTCACCCCAGGGTGCTGCTGCTGGCGGCTCTGACTACTGCTGTCCTGACCAGATGCTTCCTTGTCACGTTGGCCTCCTAGACCTCACGTTTGATCTCTTAGTCCCCTGACTTCACCAAGATCTTTACTGTCTCTCGGGCCCTGCGTCTAGTCCCTCTTCCTCCCCAGAACGGGTCACCATCTCAAGGACACTGCCCACAGGAGCGGGGTGTGTGGAACTGAGCGCCCTCTCCGTGCAATGTGAAGTCACCTCACCACCACCCTCCTGGCCCCACCTGTTGGTCATCAGCACTGTCCTTGGGTTTTCACAGATTCACTGTGCAGTGAGGATGCCTACCTCCCCGGACCCCTAATCTCGGTAAGTACTTCTCAGCTGCCAGGTCTGTCACAGCAGAGCAACTAGGAGGGTTGGTTCTACGTCATGAGACGGCGCGGATCCAGTCGCCATGGCGCAAACGTGACAAAGGGGTTGTTTGTCGCTGAGGTTGAAACACAGTCCAGCAATGACCATGTCAGCCGCTAGGTGACCTCGCCTCCTGAGTTCTTTCTAGGTATGTGTCGTCACACATGTGTGTCTCGTCTGGGAGGCCCTGCAAAAGGTGAGGGCCGACCGCCAGGGCAGCCTGCTCTGTGCTTATACTCTGGTCTCCACATTAGTCATGCTCAGAGTACCTCACTCTTAGGGCTGCCCCGGGGGCCCTCTGAGCAGAGCCTGCAAGCAGCTGTTTGGTCACATCGACCACGACTAACTTGTGGATCGTGTTTCACATGGGAAGCCCCGTAGTCTGTTTTCTTTCTGTTTCTGTTGAATTAACGAGCACAAATGGTTAATGTGCTCGGCTTCCGACCGAGCGTTTGGAGGTTCAGATCCCCCCAGACGCACCTGGGAGGAAAGGCCTGCCTGTCTGCTTCCCACAGATCAGCCACTGGAAGCCCCGTGGGCTCAGCTGTGCCCTGGCCCACGTGGGGCACTAGTCGGAGCTGGCTGCGCACAGCAGCAGTGGCGGTTACCATAGTTACCTTGAGGCGCTCTCACCGCTGTTTCTGTTTCTGTTTCTCACCGTGTCTTTAACGGCTGAGTTGTACCTCGTGGATGACACGCCGTAGCTCTTCGTGCTGGCCGCCTCCTGCTGATGCAGGGTTTCTTTTAGCTTTCCGTTTTCATGGGTAGATGTGACTTCCTCATGCACATGTGTGCGTGCTGTCTTTTGTGATGGTGACAGTAACGTGTACCCTTCAGCGTTCACGTTTTACAGGTGTGTGTATCAGAGGTGAAGACCCACTGTTTTCTCACCCCAAGACCAAACCAAACTCAGTGCTGTCAGGTCGATTCCAGCTCATAGTGACCCCCACTGGGTTTCCAAGGCTGTCAATCTTCATAGAAGTAAACAGCCTCATTTTTTTTCCACAGAGCAACTGGTGGGTTCAAACCACTGACCTTTCGTTTACCAGCTAAAGACCTTAGTCTCTACACTGTACCCAGACCGGGTTCCCAGGAACTCAGAGTCTTCATGCTAAGTTAGGGCCTTTACACGACCGACTGGGAGATGACCGAGGCACTTCACAGATAGGAACACATGTGAGCGTTCTCTGTGCCCGCCCCACAGGACAGCTCCTGGCTTAGGGAAGTGTGCACGTCGGGCCACCTCCGTCTCCTAAGGGCCAGTGTGTGCCGGGCCCAGGGTGGGCGACCTGATGGGCTCTGAGACGCAGCGAGACGTGTGCTGCCCTTGCAGGGCTGTGAGGGTCAGGGAAGCACATCCCCGTCCTTCGTGTGTGCAGTGTGTTTTGCACCCACAGGAAGAGGAAAGGTGGGGCGAGGCCAGCAACGAGGAGGAGGACCCCAAGGAGAGAAACCTCCCCGAGGACCCGGAGACGTGCCTGCAGCTGAACATGGTCTACCAGGAGGTTGTGCGGGAGAAGATCGAGGAGACCAACCTGCTCCTGGCCCAGAACCGTGCACAGCAGGTGGGCGGACAGGGCACGCCTTCCTGGAGGACATGCCGGCCCTCCACAGCCTGCCCTGCCCTTACCTGGCACCCTCCCTCCAGGAGGAGCTCTCATGGGATCTGGCTGGCTCCAAGGGCCCCAAAGTGAAGTATAGGAGGAACCTGCCCCCCCACATGTACATCGGGCACTTCATGAAACCTTACTTCAAGGACAAGGTCACCGGAGTGGTCAGTGGTGCAGCCCTAATGTCTAGTCCAGTCCTTCACACCCTCCTTGCTGAGGGAGACCCGGGTGTCCTTGGGTCCTTCAGGATAGTGCTCCATCCAACCCTTCCTGCCTCAGTGTGGTCACCTGATCATGGTGGGAGGAGCCACAGGGCCTTGTCATGCATCTGCTGCCTCTCATGGACCCCCACGGTCCTGTGCACCTGGGACTAAAGTGGATGGTGTGCCCAGGTGGTTCCCACTGACCCCTGTGATCCCTGTGCACCTGGGGCGATGGTGGGGTGCGGTGCCAGGCAGCTCCCTCACAGGCACGTGGTTCAGCCTTCAACAGTGTCCCGCTGTGGCCCTGGGGGTGCCAGCCCTCAGGTGAAGCCACTGGGGTTTGCCCATGTTGTGATGCTCTGGTCTCTGTCAGGGGCCCCCAGCCAATGAAGACACGAGGGAGAAGGTGGCCCAGGGCATCAAGTCCTTCAAGGAGCTCCTGGTGACCAAGTGTAAGTACCCCCACCCTCATGCTTGTCCCCGGTCCTACTGTCGGGCTGTCTTGCCTTGGAGCTCTGGTTACTGCAGGCCCTGACCTCTGGGTCTAGTCCTGGCACCTCTGCCTGTTTCTCGTGACAGTGCCTTGCGGGGAGCTGTCATAGGATGGGCATACCCCGTGTCTCGCCCTGCCCTGGCTGAGCACCCAGCCTGGAGGCCCTGCAGCTTCAGGCTCTTGGCTGCGTCGGGGGCCCGCTGATGTTGGTGCCTTCTCCATCTGATGTCAGAGCTGGGGGCCATGCCCAGGACCGTGGCGGCTCTGAGGGCGTGTGTCACGTGGGCCCTGCCACCCCCTGACTCAGTGTGCCCCTCACCAGGGAAGAGCTGGGAGAAGACTTTGCTCCGGAAGTCCGTGATGAGTGACCGCCTACAGCGTCTGCTTCAGCCCAAGTTACTGAGGTGAGTCTAGAGAGACAGATGCACAGCTCACCCCCCTCTGTTGGGTGCACACGGCAGTGGCGGGGACGTGGTCCCTGAGTGTTGCCAAGTCCTTCCTGGGAGGTGTCTGTGTAGTGTCATACGTGCTGGGGACAGGCAGAGCAACCAGTTTTAGGCGTATGGCTCAGGCAGCCTTTTCTTCTCGAGGATCTGACTTCTTCCAGGAAGTGGAGTAGGACCTGCCTTGCAAGCCCATTGGTACCCTGTATCATGCTTATTTGTGGTGTGTCCTGTTGTCTGACTGGTTGTAGTAGGTTTGTTGATAGTTAGGTTGTAGTTGCTGATGTGTTGTATCACACGGCCATCGTGATGTCTTGCCTGGACACAGCGGGCACTTGGGGACCCAGGCAGCATGAGGAACAGTGGGAGGGCCTGCTGAGGCATGGCTTCCTCAAGGGTCTGGGTGGGACTGGCTGTGTCCAAGGTGGCAGGAAGTCCCCATCCTTGTCCCAGGACACCCCCCCACACGTGGATGTGTGACACACTGTGGTCTGGAGGCCTCAGGTGGGCCCCCGGTCTGGGGGGTGGACCAGGCGTGCAGACGACACCTGGCTATGGAGCAGGCCTGGCTGGACTTGGGGCAGGGCGAGAGGGGCTGGGCAACAATAGGCCCATCCCTTTTGCTGCAGGAGAGCTGGTGTTCCCTGCTCGGCACCACTTTGTGAGGCTGCTGCAGGCTTAAAAAGTAGCCGTTGGCCTCGTTGCCAAGCAGGAGAGGCTGGGATGCGTAGAGCTCCCTCCTGGGTGCCCACAGCAGGAGCAGGGCTTGGGGTGGGACAGGAGTGTGTGAGCTCTGGGGCGGTAGGGTGGGCATCATCTCATCAGCCAGTACACTGCTCAGGTTTTGCTCCTGGCCCAGCCTAGTATATGTCGGGGTAGTTGGGGCAGAGAAACTGAGTACCAGCAGTATTGGCTGTTGGGTCCCTGCTCCTCATAACTGTACTAAGTGAAGGACCAGCCCCATCCCCAGCGCACATGGCCCCATAGTGTGACTCCTGGTCCCTCTCGGCCCCCAGACTCGAGTACTTGCAACAGAAACAGAACCGGGTCTCGAGCGAGATGGAGAGACAGCTTCTGGAAAAGCAACTTCGAGACACGGAGAAGGAGATCGAAGACATCCAGTGAGACGGGGCCAGGGGGTGCGTGGGGGTCAGAACATCTGGGAGACGGGCCCAGAGGCCTCGGGGGGTCAGAACATCCCGGTGATGGGGCCCAGGGGGTGCGTGGGGTCAGGACATCCAGTGAGACGGGGCCAGGGGGTGTGTGGGATCAGGACATCTGGGAGACGAGGCCAGGGCCCTCGGGGGGTCAGAACATCCCGGTGATGGGGCCCAGGGGGTGCGTGGGGGTCAGAACATCTGGGAGATGAGGCCAGGGCCCTTGGGGGGCCAGGACATCCAGTGAGATGGGGCCCAAGGGACATGTGGGGGCCAAGTCATCCAGTGAGACGGAGCCCAGGGGACTTGGGGATTCAGGACATCCAGTGAGATGGGCTTGGGATTTGGGGGGTCAGTTTGTCCAGTGAGACAGGGCTCGAGGAACTCAAAGGGCCAGGACGTCCCAGGAGACGGGGCCCAAAGGACTCGGGGATAGAATGTCCCAGGAGACAAGGCCCAGTGCTTAGGGGGTCAAGATGTCCCAGGAGACAGGGCCCTGGGGACTCAGGGAGTCAGGACATCCTGGGAGACAAGGCCCAGGGTACTTGGGAGCCAGGATGTCCCAGGAGCTGGATCCACAGGGGGGGTTGATGTCAAGACGTCCAGGGAAGTGGGACCTGGGAGGGGAGTGGTCGCCGGATATCCAGGAGCTGGAACCCTACAGGGGAGAAGGTGGAGGCTGGGCTGAGTGACCGTGCCCTGCTCTCTGCAGCCAGCTCCCGGAAGAGGCTCTCCTGGGGAACAGACTGGACAGCCATGACTGGGAGAAGATTTCCAATGTGAACGTAAGTCGGGGGGCTGGGCAGGTAGTCCCGGGCAGCTGTGTGCTTGTCACCAGGGCCAGCCCTGCATGACGCGGCTGCCCTAGTGGCAACAGTGTGACGCTGTCCTGTCACCGTCCTGTCGGCCGGGTATTGAATTTAGCGTGTGTTCAGGTACCCGGCCCCAACCAGGGCCTCACAGATCCCACCTAAGCCGTCATCACTGCTGCTGAGCATAGGTGCCCCTTCCGTCGGGGCAGCTGTGAAGCGGGCTTGGCGTCAGGAGCCATGTCCACCTTTCTGGCTGTGCAGAGCCAGGTAGCTAGCTGGCCAGAGAGCCCACCTCCTCGCCATCACTGGACACTGACCAGTGGGTGGCTGGAGGGGCCGCTCGGCCCGAGCCTGCCTTTGGGAGCATGGGAGGCATGCCCGGGACCCCCGCCCCCAGGAGGTGGTGTCTTGTGCAGTTTGAAGGCGGCCGCAGCGCAGAGGAGATCCAGAAGTTCTGGCAGAACTCCGAGCACCCGAGTATCAACAAGCAGGAGTGGAGCGGGGAGGAGCTGAGGCGGCTGAAGAGCATCTCGGCCCAGCACGGCCACCTGCAGTGGCAGAAGATAGCCGAGGAGCTGGGGGTGAGGCTGTGGGCCAGGGCCTCGCGGGGTACGGGGCCGGGCTGCCGGGGCCGAGGCTGCGGGCATAGGCCTCTTGGAGCACGAGACCAGGCTCCCCGCCTCCCTCTCTGCTGCTTTCAGGGTGGCCCTCGGCGGGGGGGGGGGGGGGGGGGACGACACTGTTCTTCGGAAGCCTGGAGCCTGCCACCTGTCCCTCAGGCTTCCTGACTCCCCATTGGCCCAGCCTTTGCTCCCTTCCTTCTGCAGCTGGTCCGTCCCCAAGCTGCTCGACTGCCCTCCCCTGAGTTCAGGAGGTTTATTTTGTTGGGGTCTCACAACACTGTCCTCAGTTCTCTCGTTTCCCCAGGGCTGGGCTTTCGTTTCTGTCCGTGTGCAGAGGGCAGACGCTGAGAGCAGCCTGGGCCCGTGGTCTGTACGACATCTTTCTGGCTGATGTCTGCAGTGTGTCTCCAGTTCCCGCTGCCTCTGAACCAAAGTTTGCTGAGCGAGATTTTTAGAATAGGCTTTTTGAGGTTCCCGCTTGTTGCTGGTCTTTAGGCCTCGTTTGTTTGGATTATGATCGTGCAGCGGTCTGCGTGATTTCACGTCTCTGCATTTTATCATGTTCTCTCAGGCCAAGCACATGATTGTAACAAAACCAAGTAAACATGCTGGACGTGGGGGCTTGAGTGTGTGCTGTCAGGTGAGCACGTGTGTGTGTGTGTGTGTACGCTGTCTGGGTGAGCACACCCCCGGGTATGCGTGTGAGTGCATGCTGTCTGGGGTGAGTGCACACAGGTGTGTGAGTGTATCTGTTGGGGGTGGGCATGCCCACAGGTGTGTGTGTGTGTGTGTGTGCTTTCTGGGTGAGCACACCCCCGGGTATGCGTGAGTGTGCTGTCTGGGGTGAGTGCACGTGGATATGTTTGTGTGAATGTACTGTGGGGGGTGAACATGCCCATGGATGTGTGGGTGTGAGTGTACTATTGGGGATGAGCATGCCCACGGGCGTGTGTGTGTGTGTGTGTGTGTGAGAGTGTACTGTCGGGTGAACATGTCCACGGGCGTGTGTGTGTGTGTGTGTGAGTGTACTATCAGGTGAACACACACAGGTGTGTGAGTGTACTATCAGGGGTGAACATGTCCACGGGTGTGTGTGTGTGTGTGAGTGTACTATCAGGTGAACACACAGGTGTGTGAATGTACTGTCAGGGGTAAATATGTGCACGGGCGTGTGTGTGTGTGTGAGTGTACTATCAAGTGAACACACGGGTGTGTGAGTGTACTGTCAGGGGTGAACATGTCCACGGGCATGTGTGTGTGAGCGTGTGCTGTCTGGGGGGAGCACACACAGGTGTGTGAGTGTATACTGTTGGGGGTGAACATGCCCATGAGTGTGTGTGAGTGTATCCTGTCTGAGGTGAGGATTCAGGATGAGCCTTCTGCTGAAGGTGTCAGTCGTGTTCTGGTTTTGCTCTCTGGACCTGTCTGGTTCTGAGAGAGCTGTGTTGCACTAGCTTGAACACGACCTGGTGTGTAGCACCTGTCTGTCAGGCTTTAGAGTCTGGTATATTCTGGAAGGCTCCTTGGGTCTCACTCAGGGTTTCCTGTCTGTGCACTTTGCTCAGCTCTCTTTCCTTGTTTTTCTAATTTTTTTTTTTTAATTATTTTTGTTGGTTTGCTGAAGTTTTTAAGTCTGGCTTTTCTCTGGGTTAATTTTGGACATTGTACTGTGTTCTTCATTCCATCACGTATCAGTCACTTCCTGTGTCCTGGAGTGTGTCTTCAGACTCATTACTCTTGTAGCGTCTAGAAGGAGGAGAGCAGGTGTTACCCGACACATTCTTGTTCCTGAGGGTTGTATGTAGTTCTGTCAGACCAGCTGCAGCCTTTCCAGTGGGGCAGCCTCACTCAGTGCACTGGCTGCCTGAGAAACACCCAACCCTGTCACTCGCCTGCCCCCGACCCGAGAGGACACCCCAAGCTGGTGTCTTTTTGGGGGCAGCGCTCTCCTCGGCTGGCGCCTTGGGCCCTGTTGGCTGTTGAGCTGGTTTAAGGAAAGGCCTTTGGTTCCCAGCGGTCAGGATGCTGTCTGTGCCCAGGGGTGAGGGAGGCGAGCCCATCGACTGCATTTGCGTTGAGTGCGTTCGTGTGTAGACTGCTGTCCCAGGCACGCGCTCTGTGATGGCAAGCCAGCACAGGGCTTGTGGGCGCCTGCAGAGTGGCTTTCACACGTCAGCTCCTGTCCCAGGCACTCACTTCCAAAGCCCATTTGGGTTCAGATGACACTGGCCAGACCTTGACAAGGCCCCCCGCAGGAGAGAATGGGGACCAGGTTGGGGCTAAAAGACTGTCTAGCTGTGTAGACCTCGGTCTTAGTTGTGCACCCCAGAGACGTGGACGTGACACCAGGGCCTCTTCTCTTGTGACGGTGGTGGATGTCGTTGCGGCGGTTCAGGCTCCCGGGAACCCCACCTGACGGACTGGAGCTGCTCTTAGGGTTTTCTGGGCCCCCATCTTCATGGGGCGGGCCACCAGGGCTTCCTCCCGCAACACCGCTGGGGGTTCAAACCTCTGACCTGTCGGGTATCAGCTGAGCACTGAACTCTGTGCCACCAGGGTTGCGTCCTCTCCTCATCCCCACCTTCTAATAGAGACTTCAGAGCCCCGAGCTGGACGGGGGGCCCTTCACCTGGGGAGGGAGCAAGTGAGCACCAAGTCAGGGGCGGTGGCAGCACGGCCCCCCTTCCTGGCCCTGGCCTGGTGACCAGAAGGCATTTGAGGTGCTGTGTGGTTTTGGTGTTGTGATGGTTATGTTTGTGTGTCAACTTGGCTGGGCCTGGTGGAGTGGCTGGGCAGCTGGATGGAGTATTCCCCATGATGAGACTGGTAATCGACTCCATGGTGGAATCTACTGGGAACAGCTGAGTAGCTGCCTTGGGGTATGTGGTCTGCTTCCTGTATATAAGGAGAAGCTTTGAGAACGGTCTCTAGCCTATGGCACGCTTGGACCCTGTGTGTAGCCGTGTTGTTGCTCAGCAGCCTGCTATGCTCTGCCGACCTTGGGACTTACAATGGACTTAATGGCCTGCCGTGTGGTGTGATAACATCGGGACTGTGCCTTTTTACTTGTCAACCTTGCGGGGTTCTCAGCCTCAGCAGCCAGCAGCTGTCTGAGTGAAGAAACACCTCTACCTCCAGTGGGCTGGGAGCAGAAGGCAGAGCTGGACCCCAAGGTTGTAGGGCTTTCACCCAGCCCCTAGATCCTGTCACTTTGAACTTGGACTTAAAGCCTCCAAATTGTAAGAATAAACTCCTGTTTGTTAAGGTCATCCCATTTGTGTCAGAGTGGCACTAGGGGACCGGAACAGGTGTTGTGGGGACTAATTGTGGTCGGTTTCCTGTCTACTCTGTAAGTGTCTTAAGGGTTTGCTAAGCTGCTTTTGCATGATCCTGTGTGTTGGCTCCAGGGTGCCCCCCAATGAGGGCACTCTCCATGGCCTCTTGGCTCTGGGGTCCCTCGTGGCTTGTAGAAGGTTCTCCTTACTCCACCTGCCCCTCAGGCCCAGTCTCTCCTCACCCTCTCTGCTGTGTGATACCCTCTCTGCTGTGTGACCTGGGCACACACGACGGGGCACGGCCCCTCCTCACCACACACTGACGCCCTCTGTGGCCTGGACACACATGGCGGGGCGCCTCCTCACCACACACTGACGCCCTCTCTTTTGTGTGACCCGGGCACACACGGTGAGGTGCGGCCCCTCCTCACCACACACTTGACGCCCTCTCT